TGTGTGTGTGTGTGTGTGTGTGTGTGTGGGTGTGAGTGTGTGTGTGTGTGTGTGTGAGTACGGTGTGTGTATGTTTGTGTGTGTGTGTGTGCAAGTGTGTGTGAGTGTGTGTGTGTGTGCGTGTGTGTTTGTGAGTACGGTGTGTGTGTGTGTCTTTGTGTGTGCCTGTGTTCACTCCCCAATCCTAATAATTTTGATAATTTCTCATAACTTTGAATAAATAAAAAATAAATAGACAAAATTATCCCACTCACCGATCCTGTCACACTTGAGTGTTTTCGCCAGCAGTGCGTTAGTTGAGAAGCAGACCCCGTGGGAGTTATACCCGTACGCCACTCCAGGCAGAACCCCGGGGTAACAGAACGCCGTGAAGTTTTCCTGGAAATGGGCCGATACAAGAAAATACCAAAAGACCAAAGGCACCATTTTATAATGGATTGTACACTCTATAATGATAAGCGCCTATTGCTGTTCACCTTTCTTTCCGCTTGTTCAATTGATTTCAATACGTTAGATCCTATAGATAAATCCTATAGATAAACTACATTCTCAGGGGAGATAACCAATACAGTGTTCAAATAGGAAAATACATTAAAGAATGTTTCGATCTTAGAGAACACATGTTAGAGAATAGTTAACCTTTATTGTTACATCATGCATATACTCTGTACGTAAGATGACGTTATCCACACATGTATTTAGCTTTGTTAGATCTTTAGTTAAGTTGTAGAAGACCATACCAAAGTCTCTGTACTTTTTTGTTGTGTCAATAAAGAATCACCTCGGGCAAAACGTCTCCGTTCGGCAGCCGGTAGGGTTTGACGTTCGCCACGAGGACGTAGCCGAGCTTTTGGATGTTCGCGTCGCAATCCTCGTTGTGAGCTAGCAGCCGGGGACCGTTGCAGAAGTTCAGGAAAACTGACGTACAACCTTTTGAAAAAAGAACAAAATTTATTTAAGATCCAACACGAAGAATGTTCTCACCTAGAGCTTTCGACCAATCACTCTGGTCTTCTTTCGTGAGAGTATACTATAAGAATTTTTTTTTCTTTTTTAGCAAAAATTAGCAAAAGTCAGTCAAGTTGAACTTCTAGGCCTTACTGTGAAACCTGAAATAACACCTGAAATAAGGACTAAACTTCCCTTCCAACACTAGTACTGGAATGAGTGTTGGAAGGAATTCTATCTGGAATTCCAGTGTTGGAAGGAAAGTGCAGTCATAATGACTTGTACCAACACAGATGAACTTTCAAAACTGACCTGAGGTTTCGTCCACGTTTTGCTGTTTGGACTTGAGCATGAGAAGCATCTCCGGACGACAGTGCAGGAGAAACAGGTGCTCAAACGACACCTGCGCACCTTCTGCCGTGCCCTGAACCTCCTCTATGTACTGTGGGTAAACCGACTGCGCCACCTGCAAGTACCCTTCGGAAAACAAAACTGTAGATTGTAAAGTTTACACACACAGGCACGCTTGCATACGCACACACACACACACACACATACACATACACGCACACACATACATACAAACATACATGTACATACACACACACACACACACATACACACACACACGCACACATACACACACACACACATGCACATATATACACATGCGTACACACACATGCACACACAAACACACACGCATACGCACACACACGCGCGCGCGCCCGTGCACATGCACACACGCACACCCTGTTTCTTGTTCTTGACCATCTCTAGAGCTAATACTACTGGACGCTCTCTTAGAAACAAAAACGCCATCTCCATCCCCCCAGCCAGAACAAAAAGACTCCAGAACTCGTTCCTTCATCAGTCTATCAGACTCTACAATCAGACTGTGTAATCAGAACTTGATATACCGGCCTAGGATGTACACTTCATACGAGTAATATGTACTATGTAAATATGTTATGTGTTTATTAATGTAATGATGTAAATACCAATCTCATTCAGGCAACATTATAATTCTATAATATTGTACGTCTGCGATGTTGGCATGGAAATGAAGAAGAATTGACCTACCTTCGTACACCTGCCTTCCCTCGGCGGAGTTTAGGAAGGGCAGAAGGAGGTTCCTGAAGTTTCGGTACTTCTCCAGAAACTCCCGGATCTGTCTGCCGAACGTCCTGCCGACCTGCCGACCGACCTCCCGGTGCGACCCGGTAACGTGCAGGACACGCAGGGACATGGCTGATCAGGGCTGCACACTCAAACCTGCTGTAACACAGGAGAAAGGAGTAACTCTGACCCCCGGGAATCGAAACCCCTTGTGGGGTGGTGTGGCGTAGCGGCAGAGTGCTCGACTCGGAATCAAGGGGTCCCGGGTTCGAGTCCTGACATGCCACCGATCTTGTGCCCTTGGGAAAGAAAGACACTTTCCTCACTTCGCTCAGGTGAAAATAAGTATTGTATTGTCCCCTGTGTTGGTGGCGGCATTAATATAAGTTTGAAAAACTTGAGTGTGCCGTCACCACGTCTTGTGATTACATGTTGGAAATTATAAATAAAAAAAAATTAAAAAAAACGCGCCGCTCGCAACTTGCCGCCCGACCTCCCGGTGCGACCCGGTAACGTGCAGGACACGGAGGGACATGACTGCTTTATTTGTGCGACCTACACCGATGAAAGAAAACACTTATGAACGCAATCAGCAACAATACAAATGTAACATTACCTAAAACAATCTCAGAAATATATAGGCCAATATATAACGCATCACTTATAACGCATCCCTTAAAAGAAATCACATTATATCTGACTCAACCAACTGATGTAAATTATCATGTACATGTATTCCACGTCTTATACCACACTGAATCAGACACACAACATAGCGTAGTATTTATTGTGCAGTTAGTTTTATAAGCACCAGCTTGCAACCCCGACGCTCTAACACTCCTCTAACAATTCGGCTAAAACTAAAAGGGCTAGACCCATCACTGTTACACTGCTGCTTAGGGATGCAGACTCTAACCTGTAGTATATACAATATGGAACATTATAGCTAGCCTCCATAGCATGCCAAAAAATGGAGGTTTTGGGGGTCTTCAGGTTCTTTGGGAGCTTTAATGTGCTATTTTCTGATTGCATATAGACAACATAGCCGGCCTGGTTGAATTACCCCCGTCTTTAAAACTAGGCTAATCAGAAAACAGTCGAAGGCCACCAAACCCCAGTTCTATAAGCCTGCTCATGGAACATTATAGCCTGGCTAGGCCAGTGGTAACTCTATGTGCTGCTCTGCGCCAAAACTTACAGGCCTTACTGTTATACATTGTACTAGATACTATGACCTAGATCATCAGGCAAAAGTACTATACACCACAAGGGCCTTGCCTACATAATATATGTGAACAAAGCATCATGGGACATTAGAGTTGAGAACATCTGGAGTACTTGTAGAATAAAGTTTCAAGTCGACTCTCACTCCGACTGATCTATCTGCTTGAATCGAGCGTCTATGATAGCCATCCATAGACAAGAACGCACAACACTTACCATTATGACGTCCTTACCCTTACAGAGTAGAGTAGTCAGTTGTCTCGGCAGTCGGACCCCGAACCTCCAGTCCTAATTTGGGCCCCGCTCTTAAATTCACTTCACAGTCGTCTATATAAAGGTTTCTGTGGACGATCCAGAGTTTGGCACTGTTGCTGTCTTTGAAGGTGTTTATCTTGTATCCACGTTTGTCTGTTTACGACCAAACAAACACAGAAATTCAGCATCTGCAGGGAACAGAGCACACATGATGCAATACCGACAGACAGACTGACCCAGTGACCCGAAAGAGAACCCAACAGTGACGTCAGGATCAGGGATCCCCTCGGGCAAATGACGTCACCCAGGCAAATTATGGGAGCAGTCTTTCTTCTTTCACTTTCTTTCTTTCTTTCTTTCTTTCTTTCTTTCTTTCTTTCTTTCTTTCTTTCTTTCTTTCTTTCTTTCTTTCTTTCTCTCTCTTTCTTTTTCTTTCTTTCTAAATACTCTTTTCAATTCTTTCTTTCTTTCATTGTGGCTTTCTTTCTATCTCCTTTCCTCTCTCTCTTTTTTCTTAGGGGCCTCTTGACTGTACCTGAACAGTTACTGAGTTAGAGGGATGGTGTAGGCATAACAAGTCGTTTGGTGTGATACAGCACGTGTTTTCGAGGCTGATGTCTTTATACCAGCTGACCAAGTCAGGATCATACTCTGTAAAGAGACCTAAGGTCTCTCATTATGGCCACTAAACTGGCGAAATTAACAAAATTTGATCAAAGTAGGAAGGTTTAGACCCTACCTGTGCCTTCCAGCCCAAAAATCTCCAAGCTGGGACCAAAATGTTCAAGAGAAAAAAGGATTTTCAAAGATATCAACTAGGAACTACAACTTCCCATTTTGGGGCCTCTGAGTACTCCGTGACCCGTGACGTCACTCCTGTAACATGATACCGCCGGCCTATCCCAGTAATGCAAAGCGACCCCTGGCGGCGAGCCCGGTACTGCAGAGTCAAAACAACATTGCGCAGTTTGTAATACAGACCTCTACCTGAACATAGCAAGCAAGGTCTCCCTACACATATACTCAGGTTAGTATATATCGAGTGAACGTAATTATATCATATATATGGTGACAGAAGTCTAAATCCCTCCTGCTATAAAATGGCAACGTGATGTAACCCAACACCAGTCACTATGGTGACAGACGTCTGGTTTAGGTCATTCAGAGTCAAAACAACATTGCGCAGTTGGTAATACCGGCTTGTATTTGGATCAGAAACAAGCAACGTGGTCCCAACACATTCCGTGTCGCATACTCAGGTTAGTACATATCAAGTGTACGTATGTTTCTTATTCGTTGCTCTGGATAGCGATGAAGTACATTATATACAACCAAGAATGCAAACCGGCATGATTGCACAGGGCTAGCTAGCCCTACTGATACGACAGTGCATTCAATTTGAAACTAGAACAATTTAAATAGGACAACGTTAGAGACCGGGGTCTCTTGCACTGAGGTGCAGTTACTGCAGTGCTCTAGTTCAGAAAGAATGTCGATCTTTATAATAGCTATAATTTTTATACATGTACAGTTATCGTTAGAGAGATTGGATGTTGTCGTGATGGCATTAAGCGCACTGGAAAACATGGCAAACTGATATCGATATTGATTTCGCTCAGTTTGTGTTAATCTACAGTCAAGATAGGACGCCGCCTGTTACATGTATTTTCGTATATAAACTGGGAATGGAGCCAACATGCATGTATATAGTACAACCTAGACCTAGCTGTGTGTGTGGGAGGGTCGGGGGGGGGGGTATACTAGTAATACGCCATACAGTTCACTGCAGTAAATGCCAAAATAATAATAGTTTTTTTATTAACTTTAAATAGCGGAAATGCGTGTATACTATAGATGTGATGTATACTGAAGATACTGCGTATTTTTGTTGCTGAAACAAGACAAGTCAGAGCGAAACATGGCAGAGAAAAGCGACGAAAAAAGGGTTCCGAGATCCAAGAAGCCGTTCAAGAGACCGTACATCAAGCCTTGGAAGGTTTGTTTGTTTGTTTGTTTGTTTATCAATTTTTTGTACCAACATACGATACAACGAAACAAGCAACCGTTTTCTTTAGCGACATCGCATTTTTGCCTCACAGACATCATGCAGTGCTATTGCATATGGCTGATTGAACTTACTACATATAATCTTGTATCTTGAATATCATTATATAATATAGTACTGCATTTTCATTGTTGCGAACAGTACATATGTAACGGTTAGTTAATAGTGAAAATATGTAATTTGTATGTTTGCGAGGGAGACAATGACAATGACAAACAATCACCTGTTTTGCCCCCCTCTTCATTTTGTTATGAAAAGCCAAATAAAGAAATCAAAACCGGAAGTTCAACTGCAGTACCATAACAAGCCGCCAGTGGGTCCAAAATCTATTCAGTTGCAGTTCACATCAAGACCTACCCACCTACCTAATATAAAGACAATCCATCTTAGCCTTCTTGAGTTATCGTGTTCACACACACACACACACACACGCACACACACACACACGCACACACACACGCACACACACACACACACACGAACGCCAACGAAAACATAACCTTCTTGGCGAAGGTAATAACGTTAAGAGACCACCTTACAGGTAAAAGACGAGTCGGCTTTCCAGGTGAAGATCCCGGTATGTCACGGGGAGTCTCTCTTACTGGACCGGACAGACAGACTGGCGATTGCCGTGCCACGGAGCACCATCACTGAAGACGTGAGTTGGTTTTATCTGTGCCATTCTTTCATAGAACTGTCGTAGAGTGAAACCTGTAAATACTGTAGCCCCCATAGCAGGCTTATAGAACTGAGGGTTTGGCGGTCTTCGGCTGTTTTCTGATTAGCCTCCGTAGCAGGCTTATAGAACTGGGGGTTTGGTGGTCTTCGGCTGTTTTCTGATTAGCCTCCGTAGCAGGCTTATAGAACTGGGGGTTTGGTGGTCTTCGGCTGTTTTCTGATTAGCCCAGTTCAAAAAACGGGGGTAATTCAACCAGGCCGGCTATGTTGTCTATATGCAATCAGAAAATAGCACATAAAAGCTCCCAAAGACCCTGAAGACCCCCAAAACCCCCAGTTTTTGGCAAGGTATGGAGGCTATACTGTACATAGTGTCTATCTTCTCTGTCACAACCAGCGGAAACGTATTGAGCTAAAACTGGATCGAGATCACGTTTAAGACTGAGGTTATGTTTCTTGTGTTTGTTATGTTTATGTTTGATATGTTTGACCTCCTTGGTTTTTGACGTCATCTTGTTTCAGATGAGCGCAGAGGCTTGGGTTCGAGCCTACATGCGCATGCGCAACGCTACTGTGAACTACGACAGAATTTTCCTGGAGATCGTCAACTATTTGGAGAAAGGACCGGAGGACTTCGACAAAATGGTGGGTTCTCCCTGTACTGTCATTCACCGCTTTGTTTTCGCTATGTTTATGTTTACCGAAGGAAACATTGTTTTTGCTCATTTTCCTCTTCTTCCGTTCCAAACACATGAAAAACATCTATATTTTTGTAACTAGAGCTTAAAATGGTGACAGTAGTCTATATCCCTCCTACTATAAAATTGCAACATTATGTAACACAATACAAGTTACCATGGTGAGCGACAGATCTGGTCGACCGGTCCCGGGCAGAGGTCAGTGTTTGGAACGGAAGAGAAAGAAGAAGAAGAAACAGAGCAAAAACAATGTGCTTTCCTTCGCGATCGGTAAACATAAACATTCTCAAACTTGAGCTTTATATCGCTACGAATAAAAACAAATTGGAGAAGGTTTTGTGTTTAAATCATATTACCTATTTATCATGATTTCATGTTACTTGTATGTACCATATATACATTTGAGTTACTTTAGTTTTATTTGACTTATGTTGTCAAGTTGGGTGGTTCACTTCTTTTGTTACTTTTCGTTTGTTGAATAAAAAAAACAAAACCATTCTCCCTCCCCGCCTATCCAGGACGTGGTAGCGCTGGTTGAAGCCCTGGTGGAACACGCGGAGTCGGCAGAGATTTACGACATGGAGATGTGGAGACGGAAGCTGTGGCAGATCAAAGTGTGTGCCGGCTGGGAGGAGTGCTACCAGATATGGTACGACTACAGCGACTAGGGAGCAGGCCCCGGACGCACAGTGGTTCTTCACTGCAAGAAACTTTTGACTGAAAAAGTTGTTATTATATTTTTCCTTAGGGACTGGATATGGGTGTTAGATTTATGCCATCACTAAGTAACCTGAAGAATTGTTACCGGAGAGACTGAGCCTGCGTGTAAACTGTCTTTGCTTTTAAGTTTGAAAGTTGTAAAACACACACAAAAAAAAAAACAGCCGTCCGTCACTCTCCATGATCCCATGAAAGTTGTCGTCACCTTTATTCATAATCGTTATGTTAGACCTGCACCTGCACGGACTACCGAAAAACTGTTGCGTCACACGGCGGGGGCTGCGCGTCTTTCCCGCCATTCGAACGCGTTCGAAACTTCGATTCCGCGTTCGAAAGTTCGACGCGTTCCAATGTGCGCCCGTACAGAAGCGGAAATCGAAACCGCGTTCTTAGAACGCATTCGAGAGTTCGGACGACACAGTGTGACAAAACTAGAGTTTGCGGTTCATCATGATAGATAGTAGATCTATCGTTCAGTCTTACTTTTTCTGAAGCCTTGTTGTTTCTTTGCCGAACCTTTTCAGATTTTATTGAATATCGAGTGGCATGTCACATTAAGTGCATGAAATATGTCAAGGATTTACAACTTGCGCCCAATTATTACCAATAGATAGCACAAAATCCTACATACTATCTGCATCATTAGCGATAAAATACAGCATAAAAACTTATCACATCAAGAATACAACATCATAAAACCGCTATATACAACGATCAGGTCTTAGACGGGTACAAAAGACTGTTCGTTTTTTAATAAAGTTTCATTTCCAACCTACGTCGGTCTGAGTGAACTCCAATGCTGCGGTTTCTAAGTCCGGCAGGTTGAGCAGGCGAGCCGTCCGTGCGATACTGGCACAGCTGGACTCCCCGAGCTCGCACAGGACACGCTCCCGACACAGGGACAGGGCGGACGGGAAACGGAGCTTCTTAGCAACGCCTGCCACGCGGAACACCTGAAACATGCGTGAACAGTTTCATCAGGTTTGTAAGACGCTGAGTAAAAAGACTCTTTTTACACAACCAAGTCTGGCGTCGGTGGCGCAACGGTTAGAGCGTTGGACTCGGAACCGAGAAGTCCCGGGTTCGATACTCACCGTGCCCCGATGTTGTGCCCTTGGGAAAGGCACTTTACACGACTTCCCCACCTGTACGATGGAGTGACGCCCACCGAGCCTCTTGGGCTAATCTGTCTAACTGTGTGCCAAAAACACACTACGGATTTGGTGCACCGATGTGACAACATCTGCACATTTGTCACTGAGAGCCGTTAATTTTTTTTTCAAGTCTTTAATTCACCTTAGACATATCTGAGGACACGCGTCCCGTCTTCAGCATCTTCAGAAGGCTGCTAAAGTCTTCAGTACGGATCCCTTCTTCCAGGGTGATGACTGTCTTTTCCTCCGTCTGAAAAAGTGGGTTCCTTTCATATCTTAAACCTGTCGTAATCTTAAAATGGAAATGTGCTATCATGAAAGTTCATCTGTTTTCCAAGGTCTAGTTCTGAAGATATTGACTTTTTTACATGTTTGGAGAAGAAGAGGAAACTGAGCAAAAACAATATGTTTCCTTCTGCGAACGTAACATAATTACTTGAATTGTCTGTGCAGCCAGTCTCTCACGGAAATAGTCGCTCTGTGTATAAAGTAGGCTCTTCCTAACGCAGATAGCCGTGCCCTCGCTGTCTACAATGTACACTTTTAAGATTGAATCAAAATTATCCCTCTTAAACAGGCACATTTCAACTTTCGTCTCAAACAGCCTCCGTAGCAGGCTTATAGAACTAGGTTTGGTGGTCTTCGGCTGTTTTCTGATTAGCCTCCGCAAAGGCTTATAGAACTGGGGGTTTGGTGGTCTTCGGCTGTTTTCTGATTAGCCTCCGTAGCAGGCTTATAGAACTGGGGGTTTGGTGGTCTTCGGCTGTTTTCTGATTAGCCTCCGCAGCAGGCTTATAGAACTGGGGGTTTGGTGGTCTTTGGCTGTTTTCTGATTAGCTAGCCTCCGTAGCAGGCTTATAGAACTAGGGTTTGGTGGTCTTCGGCTGTTTTCTGATTAGCCTCCGTAGCAGGCTTATAGAACTAGGAGTTTGGTGGTCTTCGGCTGTTTTCTGATTAGCCCAGTTCAAAAAACGGGGGTAATTCAACCAGGCCGGCTATGTTGTCTAACGTTATATGCAATCAGAAAATAGCACATAAAAGCTCCCAAAGACCCTGAAGACCCCCAGTTTTTGGCATGCTATGGATGCTACGTCTCAAAGGGGTAATTGGAATTTGCGGAAACGAACGGTTTTGCATTCTTTGGATGACCTTGCAATGGTGAGGCTTGTTTGTATCGTTCGGCAAAATGTTCGAACATGGTTGCTAGGTAACGCCAATGTTGCGTTTTTTTCCCTAGTGACGTCACCATTAAAGCAAAAGTATAGCCAACATCGTTTTAAACCACACAAATGATCTGAGCTCTTGAACGAAAGTTTTATGCATAAATATTAGATTCTTTATTGACACAACAAAAAGTACAGGGACTTTTGTATGGTCTACAACTAAAGATCTAACAGCGCTAAATACATGTGTGGATAACGTCATCTTACGTACAGAGTATATGTATGCGGTAACAGTAAAGGTTTAAGTATTCTCTAACATGTGGTCTCAATATTGCAACGTTCTTGCGTGTCTCAAATGAAGTACATAGTGTAGCAATTTCAACTAAAGCTGCTAAGATTGTTGCAAACTCCTGTTGTCGAATTGGCGTTGAAATTTCTGCAGTACCTGTATAACCTGCTAGATGGCATGCTCGATCATACTGTGGATCATACTGGTGCTAGTATACGACGGTGTCTGCGGTGATGCACATACAGACACACGCAAACACTCACGCACAAACACACACACACATGCACACGCACACGCACACACACAAATACACACACACACACACACACACATACTCACGCACACACATGTAAACACACACGCACACACACACACACACACACACACACACACACACACACACACACACACACACACACACACACACACACAAAAAGCTATAAAAAGTCAAAACAAGTAAATTTCTTCCTATTTGAATTTCCCGCCATTGAGTCACGCCCCTCCACGCCCCCCTGTAGTGGGGTCAAACTCCGGTCACAGCACATGCGTACTCTGTTCAAAACCGTGCCAAGATGGCGGTGTGTGGTGTACTTTTGCGATGTGGGCGTCTTTCCCGGCCGCTTTCTGGCCGAACTGCGGCTTTAGGAGCTCTTCTGAGCGCTTCGGGAAGAAGAGAGGCGTCCGCGCTATCTTATGTACCGGAGACAGCTCCCAGCGACTTCGGTAAGTGGCGAAATATGCAGCACATATGAGTGTGTTTGTAGGAGGGAGGGGGGTACTAGTATATCAATCAAAATGTCAAGCCCATCTATACATTTACTATAGTCAAGTATTAAGGCACCAAGAGTAAATACCTAGAGAGACAAATGGACAATGAACAGACACAACATCGGTTCAGGTGAATGGACAGTTGCTAGAAGAATCAACTGAAGAAAAAGATTTGGGAATCTATGTCTGTAATTCATTGAAGCCTTCACTTCATGTGGCATGCTCAGTGAAAAAAGCCAACCGAATGTTGGGATTGATTAAGAGGAATATAAACAACAAATCAGTGGAAGTTGTCACCAGACTGTACAAAGAAATGGTGAGGCCACACCTGGAGTACTGCGTCCAGGTGTGGTCCCAATGGCTACAAAAGGAAATAGACCGTTTGGAAGCGGTGCAAAGAAGGGCAAGTAGACTCATCCCCAGCTTACGGGGCTTGACATATGAGCAACGGCTGAAAAAAATGACATTGACAAACGCCTGGTCTAAACCTGTGAAGGTAAGGTCAGGCGTCCCCCAGGGCACGGTACTAGGTCCCCTCTTATTTTTAATATATATCAATGACATAAATGAAGGTATAACATCACAACTACGTTTATTTGCCGACGATTGTTTACTGTACCACCCCATTGTAAAGGAAGAGGATCATCACACATTACAGAATGATCTTGATCTACTATGCAGATGGCCAGATCGCTGGCAATTGCGCTTTAATGTGAAGAAATGTTCCATTATCCATATACACAAGTCTAAAAAAGCTCCAAAACATCTGTATACAATGTTCTCTGAGCCCCTTGAGATCAACACACAGCACCCGTATCTTGGAATCATACTCTCACACAACTTAAAATGGAACTCACACATTGAATACATAACAGCAAAAGCCAACAGCACTCTGGGTTTCTTAAGGAGAAATCTGAGGGGGGCAAGCAGAGCAATCAGAGCCCAGGCATACACCTCAATTGTGAGACCCCAGCTGGAGTATGCTTCGACAGTTTGGGGCCCTCACAAGCGACTACATGCACAGACAAACAAACTTGAAGACAAAGTAGAGGCAGTACAGAAGCGAGCCGCTAGGTTCGTTACTGGAGATTACAGACCAACAACAAGCATGTCAGATACACTGAGAACACTTGGATGGCCTTCCCTGCATCAACGCAGGCAGCAAGCCAGACTTGTACTAATGTATAAAGCAGTAAATAACATGGTAGCCATTCCTATACACAACATTCTCACCAAAAACACAAACATTACAAGAGGACATCACTCACGCTTCATCACCATCCCATGCAAGACAGAAGCATACAGAGCCCAGTTATTTCCCTCGAACCGTCATCGAGTGGAACACACTACCAGGTACACTCATATCTTGCACATCCCTTGATGCGTTTAAGGCGGGATTGGCCAGTCACCTTGGCCTCTCCGCCAATACCCAGCTGTAGGGTTATTTTTGCTTTCTGGTGTGGCTTTTGTATATAGTTGCACATTTCGGTTTCTTCTTTTTGCAATTTATTATTTATAGAGCATTTTTCATTTGTTTGTATATTTTTGTTGCGCACCACCACCTGCCACACCAGCTGCACCTCCTTCCCGGGACGTGATGTGCCGTGAGGCACTTTGTCCCGTATCATGTAGATGTAGATGTAGACAACTCTGGCTGTAAGGCGCTTCCGCGGGGATATGTTAGAAGTCTTCAAGATTCTCAAGGGAAAGGAAGGAATTCGCAAGGAGGATCTATTCACACTGGCAAGTAACCCCTATGCCACAAGGGGCCATCATCTCAAATTGGAATTGCCACTTGCTAAGTTGAATATCAGGAAAAAATTCTTCAGTGTCAGAGTGATCCAGGAATGGAACAAGTTGCCACCGGAGACGGTGAATCAGACGTCAGTAAACAGATTCAAGAGTTGCATCGACGAATACATACGGAAGAAGATGACCATAGGAGCTACTAAGGGCTACCCGCCTACTGGCTCCTGATTCAATTCAGGTAAATTCAGGTAAATTCAGGTCAATGAGGTCACTGTTTGGAGAAGAAGAAGAAGAAACTGAGCAAAAACAATATATTTCCCATCTGTAAACATAATAATAAAGCAGGGATACTAGTAACTGATATTTGTGCAAAGGACGAGACAAGTAAGTTAGTGTGTTTTTGTTAGTAGTATTTACATATACAAGACATGTTTCCATTGTTTCACCAACCAGATGAAATTATTATTTTTTAAACCTGACCCCGTTTGACCTTCTGTCCCCAGGTGAGACGACGAAGATGAACCTGTTCCAGTCTATCAACTCAGCCATGGACGTCGCGCTGGCCTCCGACCCCACCGCAGGTCAGAGGTCACATGTATAAGCATCTAATAGATCCATTCACCTTTCACGGATCGCATAAATACTTATGTCTCAGGGGGACATTTCGAATAGAAATTACGTCAGAGGGGGACATTTCGAAAAAACACCGTTTTAGAACTGTCTGTCCCCTGTGCTGTCCCCCCGGGCAGATGTCCCGATGGACTTTAGTAATATAATAATTTACGACGTCTTTATTGGTTTTCCAACCACAAACATACATATGCAGGAAAGACACAAGTCTCCCTGAATTGGGAAGTTTGTTACAATCAACACATAATACAGTACAATCGATGAACAATAAACAGTAGTAAAATACAGCATAAAGATAACAAAATTGGACTCAGATACAGCATGGGGTAGCTTATGAAACAGACTCGTTGTACAGTTTTATTGCACAGTGAACAAATGACCTTTTCAGTCACTTAGTCCTGGCTACTAATTCAGTCCTAATTTCTGAAAGTTCCTGACCTGTGCCAGTACAATAAGTCTAAAGCTTATCAATACTTCACTGAAAGGTGGCTGTCCTTGTTTCCTTCCTCCCAATCTCACCATTTGTCCGATTCTGTTATCTGAGAACAGAATGCATACCATCGCAGTAAACTTATTATTGTAACATTCCACCACAGTCATTTTTGGGGAGGACGTAGCCTTCGGTGGAGTCTTCAGATGTACCGTGGGACTGGCAGACAAGTATGGTGAGTTTCGTTTGTTTGTTTGTTTGTTTATTTGTTGGGCATCTCATGATGTGATTGGGCCGGAGGCCCCATCGCGGAGAATTGCGACGGACGTATTCATCCGCTGCGACTTCCGGTCTCACTTCCGCCCGCTAGAAGAGAGGACGTGCTCACCCCTAGGCGCGGCAAATTCAAGCCTCGTCGGTCTCCCTTCCCATTCGCGCATCTCACCGCAATATTTCGCCCCAACTTTCCGGCAGTTCTGTTTAATGGACTTTGACTTAATTGTGATCTACACTTAGCTTACAAAAAAATGTAATGGAGCGTGTTAAAGAACCTGTCATACTTGTTGATGAGTCTATTCTGCCTTTAAATGGTATGTTATGGTTACTACTTAATACAGGAGTGGTATCAATATCATCTTATGTGGAGGCAAAACTTGCCAGGACTTGAGTTAGTTAGGCAGGAACCCTGCCATGTGTTTACAGCACTTGTAGTTGTACTCTGTGTGTGCTCATGATGAGTTAGGCAGTTTTGTATCTCAGTGCTCCTTGGAATGGATGATAGAGTTAGGTGAATGCAGACTGTGGTGAGCAGTACTTGGTGCTTTAGGATGGTCTGGTAATGGTTACTATTACTATCATATTAATCGTTAGGCCACACCAAGTAAATTTTATGGATGACGTCCGCGCGCGCATTGATTTTGGCCTGTTCCTAGAAAAAAAAACAAGAAATTCTGCTTCCTGTAACTATGACCAAAGAGTCACTACAGTGCCTCAAATCGTCAGATTGACGTGAAACCCGTAACGCGAAAACAGGACAGGACGACAACTGCTGTTTCACCTGATTTATTGCTGTTTTGATGATGAATAAGACTTCTTGCTTGTTACACTGTGTCACCTCATTCAATTTGTGTCCGAACATTTGTCATCTCTTAGTATATTTCTAATCTAGGCATCTTGTTTTTTAGAGCCTTTCTTGTTTTTTTTTCGCCCTCTCGCATTAGATTTAGGGTCTCCAAAGGACGTCATCCATAAAATTTACTTGGTGTGGCCTTACGATAAATACATAAAATACAGTCACATAAGGTTAGTGTTAAAGACAAGACATGGGCATGGTTAAAAGTTTGTAGGGAGTATTCAACAAAGATCGCTGGAAACACGTGGTTGAATATACACATGTGCTGTGTAGTTGTTTTTTTGCTTTGAGATGTTGTCCTCAGCTGGCCTGAAGCCAGGTACAGCTGTTACACAGTAGTATGATTAGTGTCTGAGTCTGTATTGTGATTAATGTCTGAGCGTTTAAGTATCTGGAGTAAGTAACACTAACCTTTGCAGGTTTCTATAGTATAGTGCAGCACTACTTTGTGCCCATACTATACTTTTGACTAGAGGGTTCGCCCGTAAATACTGTTGTTATGTGGCCTTAACCCAGGTAAAGCTGTTACAGTAGTATGATTAGTGTCCAAGTCTGTATTATGATTAGAGTCTGAGCGTTTAAGTATCTGGAGTAACACTAACCTTTGCATAATGTGGTGTGACGTCAGCAGTATACCACATACAGGGACAACATGAGCTCAGCAAATCCTGTTATTGTTCAGCAATGCTTCTTACTTAATATCTTACTTTTCCTTCTTACTGAGCTGAACCTCTAGCCTGGGTGCCAGACGCATGTAGAACACTAGGCTCAAAGTTATCCTGTGTGCTGTGGCACTGATGATCTTCAAACTTTAGAAGATAATACAAAACTGGAAGAGTATTTTTGCTACTGTTAGTTTATGTTTGATATATTCCCTGTGTGTCGTGTGTGTGTACATGTACATGTCAGAATGGACCACAGGAAGAATAGCTACGGTTTGTATGCTGATTGTGGATCCTAATAAAGTCAAAGTAATGTTGAAAACAAAGCCTGGAGGGAATACAGAGTCAAACTTGAGCCCTCTGTCTTCTCTGTCTTCGTCTTGACCTTTTCGTAAAAGTTTTACTTTGATTTAAAATACTTGAGAGCCTAGGAAATACATGTTGGCAGGTCAGATACAGTAAGCTGCTTCTCATCACCTAACAGACTGTTTGTTTCATACTCATAGTTTCTCAGCATATAATTGGTCAGGACTCGAATCAGAATCAAAACTGATCATAAAGAACTGGTTTATTAGTTACATAAAACATTAAAAAGCATATCATTGTAGCCCTAGGGCTAAATTGCAACACTTGTATATTAATAATAATAGTACAATCATGCAAAAATCATCTCAGAAGACTGCCTAATACTTAGCTTACTCACATTTATAAGTCATATTCTCCAATATGTTTCACCAACGAGACAAAACACCTGTTGATACCAATTTCTGTAAAAACACAATAATTTTTTCAATCTTAAGGCCACGCCCTACATATGGCCTCAAGGCTGTAGTATGAAACCTTACCTTTTCCTTTTCCAATTCAGAATTCAATTTATTTTTATTGTTGTTAAATCCAAGAAGCAAAGAATTGGGTTGATGTAGCCCCACATGGCTTCACAGGAGCTAACTGCTCTCTAGCCTGGTACTTAGTCCTAAATGCCAGTTTAGATCTGACACACTCCCTCCCAGCTAGGGGTAACTGATACATGTACATCTCTACTGGCTTTACTGGACTTTAGAGGATTGAAACATCAACCTGTGATCTGCAGAAAAACACGTTCAGACTGTGGGGAACTTGGTAAACAACTTGGGAGTTCAGTCTGCACTCACAGTTAAAATCATTCTTTATTCCAAAATATGAAATTGGCTAAAGTAAAAGCCTAAAGACACAGCTAGCTGAACATGCAGGGGAACACTTACAAGTGCAGTACAGTAAAAAATGTCACACAATATTGTCAGTGTTTTTAAATATTACGTATGAGTAATAGTATCTATTGAACTCCTGTTTGAACAAAGATTTGATTTCTCAATTTTCTGGCAGGCAAAGACCGAGTGTTCAACACCCCCGATTGATTGGTGGTGTATTGGGTATTGATTAATTTATTTATTGATTGATTGATTGACGATTGATTGATTGATTGATTGCTATTCCCACCAGGTAAAGACCGAGTGTTCAACACGCCCGATTGATTGGTGGTGTATTGGGTATTGATTGATTGATTGATCGATCGATCGATTGATCGATCGCTTGATTGATTGCTTGCTTGCTTGCTTGAACAGATTGACTGCTATTTCTGCAGGTAAAGACCGAGTGTTCAACACGCCGCTGTGTGAACAGGGCATCGCAGGTTTCGGTATCGGCATGGCCGTTATGGGAGCTACCGCCATCGCTGAGATCCAGTTTGCAGACTACATCTTCCCTGCATTCGACCAGGTAACTCAGTTTAGGGCAACGTAGTAATACCTTGCAAACATACGTAATACTAATGTAATTCCTGATTTTTTCACTGTACCATTATGTTCACTGTTTTCACTGTCACTTCTGTACCATGAACTTATCATTACAGTTAACATTCCTGGACTTCCTTTTTCCTGCACCTGTCACCACCAATATATAGTTCCGTGAACATGTCCATTTTTCTGATGACGGTCAGACCGTGAACTTTTACTACTGTGAACATAAGTGAAATTACAGTATATGGTGACTAATCCCTCCAGCTCAGAGATGTCACCATGAAAACCAGGATGTCTACAGACCTGAAAAAAAAAATGTCGCTCTTTCCGTGTTCCTCAGATCGTGAACGAGGCAGCGAAGTACCGCTACCGGTCGGGGAATCTGTTTGACTGCGGCCGTCTGACCATGAGGGCCCCCTGCGGAGCGGTCGGTCACGGAGCGCTGTATCACTCACAGAGCCCGGAGGCTTTTTTCGCTCATGTTCCAGGCATTAAGGTGGGTCTGGGGAGGGAGGGAGGGAGAGAGGGAGGGAGAGAAGGAGAGAGGGAGGGAGGGACACGAAGCGCTGTACCACTCACAGAGCCCGGAGGCTTTTTTCGCTCATGTCCCAGGCATTAAGGTGGGTCTGGGGAGGGAGGGAGGGAGAGAAGGA